ATTATTGACATGGTGTATAGCCCAGATGTGGATTTCCTGCTGCATGTCAATGACAAGTATGGTTTCTCTGTCTTCTATTTTCTCATTCCAACAATCCTCTGGATCCTCATCAGGAAGTTCAAACAGGAGTTTTCAGCATTTGCATCATGCAAACATCATCTTTTCAGTCTTCCAGTTAATTAGTGAATTATGCCTGATTAGCCAGTTGTAGCCAAGGAACACTTCCTTGGTTCCAAGGTCCATCATAGCTAGATCAATCCTTTCAGAATGGCCTCTGATCATGAGTTAGAGTTCAATGAATTCAGTGATGTGCTTGATAACAGCTAAGTGACTAAGAGAGGTGAATGAGGAATGAACTCTCAATCACCAACATCTAACCACTCAATACACAATCACCAAATACAGTTGAGGTCAGTTGTTTCAAGTATGATAGAAGCACTCTTGCAGTCTTAAGTAAAATCAAAGAAACAGTCAATAAAGACAGTTATTCAACTCTATCTTGCTTTCAAAGATGCAATACTCATGAGAGTAGTTTATAGCAATGTTTAAGTATAATTAGGACTTAGAATCAATGCCAAATTGCACTCCAAATCAACTTAGAATATTCTGAAATCCAATAAACTCCAAAACCCAAATACTAAGTCTATTAAGCACTTAGGCTTGACTAGCTGCACTCTTGGCTGGCTAGCAGTCCTCAAAACCAAAGAACTTGTATTCTGATGCTGAAACCCTTATAGTTTGGAACAATGATCCATTCTTTCTACTTATCATATCCTACTGGCATGAGTGCTTTGATGCTGATGGCAGAAATCATTGTAATGTACAAGGAGGGGACTTCTCTCTTAAGGGCCTTGACTATCCAGCCATTGTTGGCCACATCATCCTGAATCCCAGTGAGCTTCATAAGTCATTCCAGCTCATCAAAATAGTCTGTAGCTACCTTGTCACCTATCTTGTATTCCTTAACCTTCTGCTTATGCACTTCTTACACTGCCAGATCAATGAACTTATCATAAAGCATTTGTTTGAAGACTGGCCACAAGGGACATTGGTAGTGTTTCCTCATAGTAGATCAGAAGCCTGAGAAAATAAGGATCCACTATGTTTCAGCCTTATCTTCAAGGTATGAGGCAGTGAAGATGACTTTGTTCATATTAGTCCTGAGATATTCAATGTATATCTCAAAATATTATTTGCAATCAACCAGAAATCAGTCGATATCATTGGACACCCCTTTGAAGAGTCAGGGCTTCTTGAGTAGATCTGGTTTATACTGTAGGACAGTGGCATTGTCTGGCAACAGCTCCATGAAGTTGGACTATTGGTCAAAGAGAGAACAGCACTATTCATTTGGCAGTCTAGAGAAGAACTAGAGTGAGTTGTCATCTGTAACTGGGCTCCCTTGTGGAGCAGCTTCCTTGCATATGATGACACCATCTCATATGGTGAATCCTAACCTGACCACCTCTGAATCATCTTGGGCTGGTTCTTTCTCTACTCTGCTTCCTGTTGCTTTATCTGATAGAGGCTGGGCCCCTCAGGACTTGGCTTTCTCAGCCAGTCTAAGGGTTACAATATCTGTAAAGCTGATTTGCCAATGGTGATCAGGAATGTGACAGCTGAGTTGCTGCAGATCAAACTGAGGGGGAGGAGTATAAATAGCTGCTTCAAAGGGATGGAGCCATGTATACAGCTTGTTGTGGTGTGACTGGCAGTGACCACAGTATTGGATGAATTTGATACAGCAATCAATATTCCAGCATTTGTCTAACTGGGTCTTCTAGGTGATTCTTGTTGTATTGGTCAGTGGCATAGGCTATGGCAGCATGCCACAGAATCTCTGTTCATTTGTTTGATTCAGCATGAATATATAATTTTCTGAGCTGTGATGCCATAAAAATGTTATCCTCCACTTGTACATCTTTTAGTATTCCTTCACCTGTGCCTTCTGAATTTCCTCCTCCAGTATTTCTTCATCCATATCTTCTATCTGAAAATATGTGAGCTCCCCTCTAGCATATGGCAGTTCACTACTCTCAGTCTCCTTGTCATCCTCATCATCCCCTTCCTCTCCCTCAAAGAGGGAAGTGATGGGCAGGTCAAAGATACTCCCTGAATCCTCTAGCAGTTGTATTATCCTCATTGAGCCACTGCTCCAGCTGGATGCTGGGTCCAGTGGTGAGACTTGGATGAGCAGTGAGAGTTGTGTAACTTATTCCAGGGCAGCTTCCAATATCAGGGTTATACCAGTTTTCACTCACTGCTCACACTGCCTCCACTCTCTTGCTATAGAGGTGGAAGTTTCAGTAGTACCACTTGTTGAGAAACTGTCAAGCCACTTGGCTCCTGAGATAGCCTTAGAGAGCACAAGCAGAGATATGGGCATTATCAGGTACTTGAAGTCTATAGTGCCTGAGAACAGACTCATCATCCTCAAACATGATGTTAGCACTGAGAGTATGTCAAGCAGAGAGATACTGAGAAGTCTCAGAGCAGAGGGCTCAAGAGCAGAAGTCAGCTTGTTCAGAAGAGGGAATTCTATTGTCCTCTGCATTTGCTGCTTCTTCTGCAGTAAGGACCTCTCAGAGTCTATCAGTCCATAGGTCTCCACCACTGCTGCTAGGCTCTCTGAATATGAGAGTAGAAACTGAGAGCTCCATATGAAGTTCATACCAGTTGATAAACCCACTATTAAGGTGGTCTCTTTCGATTTTACACTGGCAGCTTCAGTACTGATGGTCATACTTAGTGGCCTTGTAAGCCTGCTGTCTTTCCTCTATGATATGCTCTTTGAGTGCATTTTAGGCCCACTCATATTCAGAGGGTGGCTCTCTTCATCACTGCTCTTTCTGTCTGATGGCCTGTTCATAGTTAAAGGGGATGTTGAGATTCCAACTGGAGAAGTATCAGTGGATGACTTCCTCTCTTGCTGCTTCTCCTCATTGTTCATCAGCAAGTCAGTCAGATGAGGTCCATCTTATCTCATTGCTGATCTCTGGGGACTGGTGCAGAGCAGGACTGGGGGAGGCCACATTACTGATGGGAGGGCTGTGGAGTCTCACAGCTATCCTAGCAACATTGAGGGAGTCTCTGGCATGGTCAGCAATCCTGTGAATTCTAGAGGTGGTGGAAGGGTTAGAGGATAGAGACTGCTGGAAGAAGTTCTCCAGGAGGCCTTTGTCTTCATGGTCAGAGATGAGGTGCAGGATTTATGCCTGTCAGACTCCTGAGACACTAGTGTTTCAGTTTCTGCTATCTAATCCAGATTAAAGAGAGTATCGGTGTCTTTTTTCCTCTTGATTGCTCTTCTGATATGTGCCACTAGGTCCAGCTTCTGGTAAGAGGCTGGTCAGAGGCTGGTAGGTGGTTCTTCTGGATTCTGGAATGTCATGAAGCAGGAGATTGGAGGTTACATTTCTGAGGATATGTCAGATATGTTGAAACTCATTATAGTGTCAAATAGCCCAGAGGGTAATTGAGTGACATCCCCAGCACAGCTGGATGATCACAAGTAGGCCTAATAGTATTCTGATAATAGAAGCTAGGAGTTCAAAGAACTCTCAATCAAAATTTGAGTCTGATGTGTTGATAGTAGGCATTTGGTTTCCTCCATACTATAGTGCATGAGGAAAGAGAAGAGGAAGCTTCAAGCTAATTATTAGACTCAAGTGTCATGTGAACAGAAACATGTGATAAACTGAAGTCACCTCACACTTCAGGTGATCAACAGAGTTCACTGATGCATATTCTGATCAATATATCACAAGGTCTTAGGATTAGCTCAAGTATAGAATAGTGTGTGAATAAACTTTAGTTCAAAGCTGAAGATTACCAGCAAGAGTGAGCTGTCTTAAATACTGTACATGTTGTGGCTAATTATACTACTTCCTATTGTACATTGTAGAGTCCTTTGTGCTCATTGTTCTTAAGCATTGTTACTGTATATAAAAGACTTATTGTGCATCATTGGGCAATGCTGTCATGTCGAAGGACAATGACAGATTTGGCTATTATGCTGACTAAGCCTTGTCTCACAGTTCTAAGTGCTTTGGTTAGGCACCCTGACTAAGCATAAAGAGGTTAACTCATTGAAAAGATGAAAAAAAAATGGAAAATTATAACAGTCTTCATCATAGAGATACAGCTGGGGATGTTTGAATGCTCAATGCATGGGATAGGCATGTCAGATCTGGTTCTTTGAAATCCTGTAGCCTAAGGGTTGTTGTCATTTTTGATGACAGCTATTGGAGGTTGGAGCAGATATCTGTGCTCTGTTTCTTCTCTAGGATGTTCCAAAGGCAGGTTTCTAGAGATGGTTTTGGATATAAGTCCTTTTAGGGGCTGGAAGGACTGTCAAACAGAGAGAGGGATGTCATGGAGGGGGAGGTCAAGAGTGACATTTTATAGAATATATTGTATTTGCTGGAAAGCTTGATAGTGCCTGACTATCCAAGCAGTGATTGATTGGCATCCTCTACAAAGTTGGATGATCACCAGTAAATCTAAAAAAATACCAATAATAGCCACTAGTAGTTTGAAGAAGTCATTGGTAAGATCAGGGGTTGATGTTGATATAGAGAGCATTTAGTTTCTTAGCACAATTGGGCTTGAGAAAGGGAAGCTAGAAGCTTTGAGCTAATTGTTAAGTCCAGATTACATATGATCTAAACACATAATAAAATAGTGCTATTTTATGTTTGAACAGTCATGCTATAGTCCACTACTCATATTATTTGGCTCTGTGTAGCAAAGTCATTCAAGAGGCTTGAGATGAAGTGGTGTAAGAATAAACTTTAGCTTGAAGCTGAAGATACTACAGCAAGAGCTATGCTACTTATATACTAGTTGTCATCTATCCTAAAGATATAACTACCTTATTGTGCATCCTAGCATTATAGAGCATTTTGTCCAGTGTCATTAAGCTACCTACAAAAGAGTATTGTCTGTCATCAAGCAGTTACCATCACATCAAAGGACAATAACTGACTAGACATGTCATAATGACTAAGCCTGGGTCTCATGGTCCTAAGCACTGGTTAGATGCCTTGACTAAGTGAAAGATAGGGGTTAGTTCCTCAAATAAAAGATAAAAGTTGAAAAAATCATAACATAACCAAAAGCATTGACCTTGAAATACAACACTATCAAACACATAAAGTGGATTCAGGCATGACTGTATGAACATGATACAGCATCTGTCTATCACATGTATATAGTCACATGTCACTTGGGCCTAACAAGCTCAATGATTTATTGGAATGGCTGCATGATATCAGGTACCTAGGTCCTAACTGCTCATCTTACATTAGGATTCACTTACTATCTATCTAGGTGGCAAGATATCCAGCAATCAAGGCAGAATGGACTACAAGATCCACCAGCTCTCAATTCAGTTGGTCATCCATGTACTCAGTGGCTCACAGGTGCTCTGGAAGATCATCCTCATGGAGGTGGAGGTGCCTCACACCAAGATCTATATGCAACAGTTTCTGAGAATGCAGTGGTATCTGGATGCCAGTGTGGCTATTGCCAGATTCAAGGCCATACTTGTCCTAACTGCCCTAGTTTGCAAAACTTGAATTCTCAGTAGATAATGTATCAGTATGGTAATCCTGTCAGAGAAATTCCACGATCCCATCATTTCATCACACATGCCAACGTTCTGGGAAAGCCGCCATACCGGAGCTCCTCGCCGGGGAGGAGCGGGGCTCCTGAATAGTTTATTCCTCCCTGATCATCTGATTAACGTTTAACGTTGGCGTTTTCGAAATCAATTAGCAGAAGCGGGCCCCACGAAGTCGCGGTACCTTAATCCGCCGAGCTAGACTTCTATCACGGCTCTGTCTCCGAGCCCTCCGTTGTCCTCTCTAATTGCTCTTTCGTTTGCCCTGAGGAGAAACACCTCACGGGTAGTGGGACCCAGGTAACAATCTCATTTGTTCTTTCCATGCGTTTGACTAACGTTTCATTTAGATAATAGAGGTAGCCTGTCGGACGACGTTCTTATCTCACATCTGGTCTATCCCTGTATGGAAGAGCTGAACGATCGATAACCCTGAGAGCAGATGGGAATGTCCACGTTTGACAAGTCTAGAAATCATCTCTTTGGGACACCGGGGGTGTAGGCGTTCATTGTCAAGGCCTCCAACATTGGCAACCGAACTTTTGATAAAGATCATCGGGTTCTTCGTCCCCAGTCTGTCCGTGGAACAGAAAGAAGATATAAACACTATCCTGAGTCACGGTATGTTGCTACCTTTTCCCAAATATCCACTACAGACCTCATGTGCATTATAAGCAGGTGCTCCTTTTGCTCGGTGGACATTTATGCACAAGAATGCTCTTACAACCGGTCGGTATCCAAGACGATGGAGCTTTGCTCGAACTGCCAGCAGTTCCAACAACGGGATGTCCTGAATCTTGGCACCGTGGTTGGCAGGATCGTGGGTATTCGTGTTGACCAGTATGAGCAGTAGGCAGGGGACGCTCAGATCGAGATGGTGCAGCGTTCGGCGATACGCGGCCGAGAGGTGGAGTCCTTTCTCTATCCTCGCCAGAGTCTGCACCGCAGCCTATACCTCGGCCTCCGAAGGGATCAAGGATGGCGATGACTCGGAGCAGTTAAGTACAAGGGCACGTATAGGGTCGCTCTTGACGGGCTCAAGACAAGTGCGGCGGGCGGCTGCTGTAATTATCCTATGACTTAAATCTCAAGACCTGGGTGAATTTGTCTCTTTATTTTCGCACTAAGCAGGTAATTGACGTATTCTGCATTGTGATACCATACCCACGGATGTCATGTGTATGGGAAAGAAGCTCAGGTGATAACGCCTTATATCCTTTTAGACCATGCTAAATACTAACAGTATAATAGACGTAATATCAAGATAGCCAGATCCCCCCATCCTCTGTTTTCCACTCATGTCGTCGGAGAAAGGTTCTTCGCCTTCATTGCCTGCCAAGACCTCTTTGGAAAAGGATATTGAGAGATGCGACCTTATCGAAAACTCCAAAGACACTGCAGCTCGCGCAATTGACAACTTTGGTGATGATGCTACGTTGCCGCCTCCTCCAGCATTGACAGAAGAGCAAGAGAAGAAGCTCTGGCGGAAGATTGACTTGAGACTCATGCCGATTTTGAGTCTGATGTATCTCTTTTCGTTCTTGGATAGAGGTTCGTCGACAGTCCATAATCTATCCTGAAATGCAGTCTGATATGAGCTGCTTTGATAGGAAACATTGGTGCATGATGACATCCTGATATAATGGTAATAAGCGCTAACGTTTATGTCTGGTTTCGATAGGAAATGCTAAACTCCAGGGATTGACTACGCAGTTGAATTTGGATGGCAATAAGTATAACATTGCGCTGGTGAGTGGCACTCCTTCCCACACCAATTCTCTCTAAATTCTAGCTGGGCAGACGATGTATTTTATCGTGCGTACGACCCTTCCCCCTCAGGGACAACTTAACATCTTTCTTTACAGTCATACTGCATTTTCGAATGTCCCGCCAAGTATGTCCATCTGTGTTCATTTCGTCTAAGCTTCTTTGGACTCATCCGGTTTTTAGTCTGGTCTTAAAGAAGTTTCGCCCATCTCGGTAGGTCATGTAGTTGGCATTTACAAGAGCAATTTCTAAAACAGCACGCCAAGATGGCTCCCGGTCATTACCGTTCGTCTATTTCTACCTCCATTCACCGTTTCTCCCATCATGTTGATTAATATGATTGATAACAGGTCGTGTGGGGCATTATTATGTCAGTGCTCTGTTTATATGTCCTCTTTCAACGACTTATTCACAATCCTGCCGGCAGGACACTAATGGGTCTTGTAAAAAAGTAAGTACCGTGAACGTCTTACGCTACCTCGTTTGCCAATTCGCTGGAAGTTACCCCCAGCTTGTCGGCGTCCGGGTGTGTCTTGGTGTTGCGGAAGCCGGGTTCTTTCCCGGCGTCGTTTACTAGTGAGTCAGATGCGGAAGCTCTGGGCCATCCTATTTACCCGTCAAACAAGTTTGACCCTCTGGTACCCTCGCCACCAGCTCCAACTCCGCATTGGATACTTCTTCGGTGCTGCGTCGTTAGCCGGGGCCTTCTCTGGATTATTGGCTTTTGCTATCAGTTTCATGAGTGGCACTCGGGGATTACTTGGGTGGTCCTGGATCTTCGTAAGATGCTCATATTCTACAGGTCTCCCCCAAACGCTAATTGTTCTATAGATTATTGAAGGATGTGCTACCATAGCTGTTGGGCTTCTGTCTTTTTTGAGTGCGTGTTGTACCTTTTACTAGCTCCATAGATCTCATAGCGCCATTTTATTTCTAGTTCTGGTAGATTTTCCTGCCACAGCCAAGTTCCTAACGCCAGAAGAACGCGCGTTTGTTGTCTGGAAGAAGAGTAGGCATCGTTTTACTTTTCGTCATCAGTACTGACTGAATAAGTAGAATACGATAATTCGTCCGTCGGAGAAGAGGAGCATTTTTCTGCACTTCACATCATCCAGGCACTCACAGACTGGCAGGTATGTCCTCAGTCTCGAAAAGATGGGCATTCTGAACATGCACTTCATTAGATTTTTCTTCACATCCTGATTTACATGTCTATCGTTGGTCCTTGTAAGCACTCCGTGTCAATGGACCGTGAAGACTGTAAGCTTACATCGCTTTCTAGTATATGGCATAACATTGTTCCTTCCGTAAGTCCTATCTTTGTATTAGATATCATATGTTTATTTCCTACTACAGAACGATCATCAAAACGTACGCATATAATTATTCTTCCCGACAGTATGCTCACATAAGACTAGATTTGGCCACACGACAGCTATCAGTCAGCTTCTTACCGTACCGCCCTACATCTTCGCTAGTATGTCATTATTGTTCGGTTATTGTCAAAAACTCATTTATTTTATCACGGCAGCCATCCTCTTGTACCTGTTCGCTAGGCTTTCCGACCGGCTTAAAATGCGTTCTCCGTTTATCTATTTGGGGCTGGGAATGCTCCTTGTGGGTTTCTCTATTAATATATCAGACGTCGCTCCAGGCGTGAAGTATTTCGGGACGTTCTTTTGTGTTGCTGGAAGCTACGCCTCATACCCAGGAGTCGTCGCTTGGTAAATGATATTTTGCTGGTAAAGCTCTCCTTGTTCATGCTGAACTTAGGCTTGGGAATAATCTCGCAGGCCAATACAAGCGCGGAGTGGGTATGGCCATCCACATTGGTATCGGCAACTTTTCAGGCGCCATTGCGTCGAATATATATAGGACACAGGATTCGCCGAGGTTCATTTTGGGACGTGAGTGTCGAAGCTCGTGGACTTGGACTTTCTGAACACTGAAAATACTTCTGTGTAGATGCTCTGGAGTTGATGTTTGTGGGTATAGGCATCGCTTGCGTGCCGGCTGCAGTGATTAGCTATACCCGGATTAACGCGAACCGAGAGAAAGAGATGCAGAAGGGAATGAGCTACTCCCAAGAAGAGTTGAAGAAGATGGGGGATAGAGCTCCTGATTTTAGATATACGATATAGACATAGGCATATTCTTACCGTTTTCTAAGCTGAATGATGATGGGAAGTGTTGATTTTTTTAAACAATGGAAGCAGGTGATAGACGTAGCCTTCGAGTCTAATCGTCTCCAGAGCTGCGGTACCCGGGAATTTGTAGGAGGTTTCGGTTGGGATGGCATTCGATGATGAGTTCAATAGAAAGGCTGGATGAGCTCTGCTCCTAAAAAATTTCCCCATTAACTTCTCATATTTATACCAGACTACACCTTTTCTAGTAATTTCCACCTAATTCTTTCAATTTCCCTCAGATTCTTTCCTTCCTCAGCATGCCGGATTGCCGGATTGCTCGAATTCTCTCGCAGATTCCCACACCAGTGTTCTACACAACTAACCTTAAAATCATACGAACATGGCTGCCGCTGTATTCTTTCTTACCCCCCTACCCACTTTCTACCCAACTCGGTTTTATCATCGTGATATTATGGCTTTGGGTGTGAAAAACGATTTGAATTCTTCGCCTCGGAATGATGGCTCTGGTTTCCTCTCCACCCGACAAAGGAAGACTCCACCGCCAAATGAGTCTGTCGCTGAACAGATACGCAACTCCGTGCAGAGCACCCCGCTCAGCACTCATGCCTCAACTGTGGATCCTACAGCCAATCCGGATCATCTTGTGGCAGATTTCGACCGGTACATCCTAGAAGACCTCAGAAACCGCGTTTTCATGTCCGCCGACCATTATTTCACCAATATTCTACATCTTCCTGACGACTGGCGGACGAATGGCGGGATAACGTCCAAAGTCGAGGCCATCAGAAACGACGTTGTATTCAAGAATCATGTAAAAACCTACGTTGCATTATGCAATCAGAGCAGTCCTGGAGAGAAGACTTTCTACCATCCCCACGGCCTCATGTGTAACAGCGAGTTCGACCTTATCAGTGCCACTGAAGACTCTCGACTTGGCGTCTATCGACAAGACGCGAAGCCGGTTGACGGCGGTTTAGGAAAGAACACCCCTGATACGTTGGGTGTTCTTCGCGCGATGTTCAACAGTTCCGGAAACGTGGTTGACAACATGACGGACAAAGGCCCTGAGCACAACTATTCGTGGGCGCAGACAATGCACTGGCAAGAATTCAAGCCTAATGAGTACTACCTCGACGACGAGACAGAAGCTATCTATAGAGTCCTAACACCTGGTAAGCACTATTCTTTCCCTACTGTTTTCTTTTCCCTGATACCTATATTCAGAGGGCGAGGATCCTAAGGGAGAGGTGACAGGCAAAACCGCTATCCACCGAGACCCCGGCGGCATCCTCCCTCCCGTCAAGTTGCGCACTGGCTACACCACGAAGAAGCGTCGTTCGGAAGATGAGACTCCTCGTGTCAACTCCAAGTATCCGCGCTCCGCGACGACGTCTGAAGTTTCGCAGGCCAGGAGAGGAACAGACGAGTCGGTGGTACTTAGTTCTGCGAAAGAGGGAATCGCGGCGGAAGATGTTGCACGACGGGAGGAGGAGGAAACCCGGGCCCGCCGAGCCGTCCACCTCCAGTGTGGTCGTCACGCCCTCGGGATGCTGTCTAGCGCCGGTTTTCGGACGCACTGTATTGGCGCTCTCGTTACGGTAGGACGGATACAATCCCTCTACTATGATCGCTCTATCATCATTGTGTGCAAACCGATTGACATGTTTAAATCGCACGGCAAGCAGCCGAAGATTACAGAAGAGACTCTGACGGACGAGTTCGCCGCAATGCTTGTGGGATTGGGTCAACTCACTCTGAGGCAGTGCGGCATCCAAGAGGAATTCTGCTATGACAGGGCGCTCATCGAGAATCACAACGTGTACATGGACAGGTGTGGCAACCCCAAGGACAAGGAGAATTTTGACAAGACGGCGCTGTTTGTTGGGGTGAAGCTCAAGCTGAAGTCGGGTGAAGATGAGAAAAACGTTGAGGTCACCCTTGGCCGAATTCTTTCACGCCGGGCTGGGATCGTCGGTCGGGATACTTGCGTTGTCGGGGCGACATCGGAGCATGATGAGTGGAAGGGTAAAGAATTGGTTGTCAAGATTAGTTGGCCTGCTACCAGTCTAAAATCGGAGGCAGAGTTTGTCATTAAAGCCAGAGAGAAGGCGCGATCCATGCAGCAAGGGAAAAGGCCAGACTGGGCCTTAGACCATTTGCCCGACATTCTCCTTTCTCAAGACTTTGACTATGCTGCGGATTCTACTCAGGCAAATCTCATAGCCTTCTTCGCAAAAGCTATGTTCGCAGAGGAGGAAAAGTTCGAGTATGAAAAACGCGTCTGTCGGATTATGGTCCAGGAGAGGCTGTATTCTCTGGAAGAACTGCGGACGGTTCAAGAATATGCTCAGGTCTTTTTTGATATTTTCCAGAGTGTGTACTTTTTTTTTTGGTTTTCCCGGTGTTTTCTGACGGTTGCCCTAGTTCACAAATGGCTCTATGATCACCCAGGAATCCTCCATCGTGATATCAGTCCTGGGAATATCATGTGGCGCCGCACCGTCGACGGTCATTTACGTGGTGTCCTCAACGACTTTGACTTGTCCGCCTACCGACATGAGACTGGCCCTTCATTGCGTCAGCGCATCGGAACTCTGCCGTACATGGCGTATGAACTTCTCGCAAATGACGAGAATGGACAACCACCCATGCACCTCTATCGACACGATGTAGAGTCCATCTTCTACACCATTCTCCTCCTCTGTTGTCGTTACGAGGTTGTGGCTAAACAAGGCCCTGATGGACACCCGATCCTGGAACGCACACGAGTCCATTCCCCATTCGATCACTGGTACGTGCTTAATCGTGCTGGGTTGAATGCTCAGAAATGCGTTTTTCTCATGGGACGTTTCCAATCGTATCCTGAAGTTAACAGCGGATTGACCGACTTTCAGCCCTGGGTCAGTGGCCTTTACAGCCGGTTCATGGCAGGACTGATTGGTCTCAATTTACATACCCTGATCCCTCAAACAGACCCCTTCGACAATGAAACTTTGCAGAGCTGGGTTTCTTACTCCGCCATTGTCAACATCTGCAGCGAATTCGCTGGTTCGGCACTCGTAGTGCACAATGATCAGCTCGAAGTAGATTCCTGATAATAGATTGTAGTTCATGTGAACGTTCATATTTAGAGCCTTTATGTATTTCTTTTTTGCGTTGAATTTTGTGAGGATTGAGTGATGTTTATACTCTGCAATCGTACATAATATTGGCCATCCAAAGTACAGTATGCGTAGCTTTACTTCCATGACGATTGAAATATTGAATTTTATGATCGGGACCTATTGTGCCCTACTTGACGTTAGCATTATCACAAAGTCGGCGTCACTTTTGGTGGTCATATATGCTTTCGATGCGCTCACTTGTCCGTTCTGTTGTTGTCATGGGGCGATGGGCGGGATCAAGCGGCAGAAGTATCCAGTGTTCGGCGGTGTGGGTTAGTAAAGTTGACCAGTACTACCGCACCCACCGTCCTATTTCAGTGTAAGACGTGGGCGCTCATCTATAGGTCAGGTAGACTTTGAAGGGTGGACTGTGGGTGTTCATGCATGCCGTTTAAAGCAAAAAAGTGGTTTTCATAAGGCTGGTAAACCACTGTATACGAAAAATAATTTATATGGAGTGCGGAAAAAAAAGAGAAGCTGTAATAACTAGTAAGTACATTGCATCATAGTCGGTCCACAAATGAACTTTCATTGAAAGGAAGAGAAAGACGTGAACCCGTCAACCGACGAGGCGGGATACTCAAGCCATTTCCATAGTAATCATGATCAAGCTGTGCCTTGATATCTCGCACCGACCTGGATATCCCATCAGCAGGAAGAGGTGCTTCAGCACCCGTATAATGATACGTCGAAAGTATCAGTTCAATATGAGACCAGAACGGGATAGAAACACTCACCGTTACTTGGTGGTCCGCGTACCAAATAAAATAATGCTCGAGTATCTTGAAATGATCATAGAATATCGTCGCATCCTCAACAAGGGTCGGGATACTTGCTTCTTCCTTGGATAGAAACTCGTGACATTGAGGCATTGCTCAACGGCGAGGCTTTTATGACCAATATACTCTCCGTGACAAATTGTAGGACGGGCACGGAGTCCCACCAAGGTAGGTTTCGGTATGCCTCTCTCACAGGAGGGATTTCGGCGTTCAGTCCTTCTGATACCAGATGACCATATGAGCTGATATTAGCGAAGGACACCAACTGCAAGTTCACTGAAGGCAGCACGAATATCGGCAAAGAGCCGCTTACCGGGTTTAATACTAGAGACACTCTCCAAGGCCCAAATGATTCGAAGAATTTGTGTAGGAGGTAACCGCGGTAATAAAGCTTGATTCCATACCGAGATTCACAGAGCGTGTGAAGATCGTGCACGAATACCGCGCGATCCTTGTCAGATTGGTGTTACGATAAAGTCCCATATCTCCCGGTGTCGTGGAAAAGACTGTTTTAGCGCGCAATCCGGCAAATAGGTGCCATGAAGAAAAATATTCCCAGTCGACGTAACCCACCGTCAAAATCGAAGAAGCTTCCTGGAGGTAACCCTGTTCCTTCGACCAAGTCAATCATGAAACGGATATGCCGGAGATGAAAGCTGAGGATTCCAGCTGAATCTGCAGTGGGTATGCAGTTTCCCTCAGCGAAACACGTATGTTTTTCGGACGAGCTTTTTACAGATGGAGACGTGAAGACTTTACTGAGTATCAAAGAAGCAGAGTTACAGCAAGAGGAAGAGGAAGAGGAGAATGGTAGGCATAGTAGATAAATCAGGAAGAATGCTGAGAAGGCGCCAAGAATCAAAAGGAAGCCCAGGTATCTGGAATGCCACCATGGGGGCAGATAGTTCACATGGTCATGAGACGCAGGGGTGCTTGTTTCCTGAGATGTGGAAGGATTCCTGCATGGCATAGCTAGTGGAGACACTGGCGAAAGGATGGGATCTAGGCACACGTGGCTCGGTCGGACCGACCTACCCGTTACCATGGACGGGGCAAGCATTATATTTACTACCTTCCTACGATCAGATTTATTTACTGCTACTCAGTCATGCAAGCGTCACTCTTGTCAGACTGCCGAACGGTGCACGCGCACTCGGTCCACATCAGGTCCAGACAGAGGGCCAGTGATCGCGGTCACCATCTTCCTCTCGATATCATTTGTGGCGCCATTGGTGTACTGCCTTCTGAAGCCTATCGGTGACTTGATATCTGGCGCTGGCCGTGCCCTGGGGGCAGCAATCACTACAACTGGCTCTGGTATTGCCCTTCTTCTTAATAGCACATGGGGAGACTTTACCTCGCGTGCAGGCTCGACCTTCTCTTACGTCCAGTGCTAGTATCTTCGTAACATGCCCTTCGACATCCTCCCGTCAATTCCATGACGAAGACTCTGAGAAACTTTACAATAAGACTGTTAGCATGGCTGCGCCCCTCAATCTTGAAGCCCAGGATGCCGTTCACATTAAATTGTACCTCACGAATATCTCCAATGGCCTCGTCTTCAATGCTGTTGCTCGTCAGATTGACATGTTTAGCCAATTAGCTCGGGACGTGGGATTCGATCAAAAGCTTCCAGCGACACTTCGCCCAGAGCTCACCAAGCGGTTCCAGCATGAGAGGAGCCAGCTTAGAAAGTTCAGATCCATGATGCACGTTGTGAATGAAGCTGGATATGACGCCTTGAAAACTCTTAAAGAACAGGTATGAGCCGTAACCTTCCTCGTGACGCTGTATTTACTTTTTTTAAAAAAGTAAAAAAAAAAAAACTTCAAAAGCTGGCAGATCTTGAAAAGGCTTTCAAATACATGTGGTACTGGCCATCCATCTCATCCTATGAAACAGTACGGGCTGAAGTAGGGCGATTTTTCAACATAGTTGACCAAGCCATTTTCACAGTGCACAATGAGGTTGAGATGACATCTACCAAGCTCGCGTCAATTGACGGCGACCCATACCAGCTCCGCTTATACCTCTCTGATGCGTCGGAATCTCTACCCGGTCAAAAATCAAGCGTCCGACCCTACCTAACAGCCCCTTGGACTATTGGGAACATTTGATCATACCGTTGTGAAGCTCGAGGGATTCACCCTCCAGGTAGAGCTGGCAACAAAAGACCTTGACGCTCTCGGCAATGTTCTTGAAAAAAATGGGTCGTAGTTCGAAGAGGCTCATGGTCAGTCCTACTGTATTTGACATATAACTTCATTACGTATTACATCTTTCCGAGGATTTCATGGCGGATGCTTTACCCTCTGCTACGGATGAAGATCTCAATCTCCTGGCTGTCTTGGATAAACTCAAGGAGTATTAGAAGGTGCTGGTCTAATATCATCGGATGATATGATCTTTCACTCGCCGGACATGCATATTTGTACTTACTGCCAGTGTACAGATAGATACTTGCTTTATACAGTATCTGCAAACTCCAGGCAGGGGTGCAATGCGAAGACTCTTACGAATACGCGCGTTCCTGTACAACTTCATACGCGATACCTAAAGGGACATCTATTATTGCATCGATCGCTGGCTGGAAAAGGTGGAAACCGCCTATGGTGATATTCGCTGGTTTGATTCCGACGACGATTACGGACATGATTGTGTTGATGGCTGATATCTTGACACCGGCTAGTAATGTCCATCTTCTCGGCCTCTCATGGGACACCGGTAGACCTAGCTTTCGATGGAGACCCACCATACCTCCGAGAATTTCCAGCTCACGCAGTGACACTGAAAGGCATGCACCTGCGCAGAAGAGTATATTTGTTGTCGACTGATATACACATAGAACACAATACTGACCAGCTTACACTCGGCATCGATAATCAATATCTGCTTTTCGGATGCTTACTCAGAGGTAGATCCCGGAGGGCTCTTGGTCTCGGCTTGGGCATCTGAGGAAGATCACCGAAAGGCGGCCTTGATAGTATGATTTGTCCCGAGTGAACCAACGAGAAAGTCAGCACAGAGAGAACCGTTCCCTAAAAATATGAAAAGTAAAAAAAAACAAACGTTGTGAAACTAAAAAAAAAAAATCGGACTCACAGCTGGAAGCTCCAAAGCCCACACAGCACCGTACGCACCTAATGGTAGTAACACGTTTGCGATGGAAATTGTACCATCGTCTTCAGGCGAGAACGGGACAGAGCTGAGCTATACGCCATGAGACCGAATACAATGGGATTTTCAACATGGAACACATACCTTCGACTGGGAGAAAAGTGCACCCACAAGCGCAAGATTCATCCACATCGGCGACGCAGCCGTCAAATCCATCGACCACGGTCCCCCTCCCTGCGTCAACTGCACCACCGGAAGCACACACATAGCATTCACCCCCCACGTCGCGCTCGTCCACATGAACGCCCTCAGAGCCATACCGACAGAATTCCTCGTCAAGCTGATCGCGTATCTTTCCTCGAACCTCTGGAACTCCCTCACCGACCGTGTGGGGTCCTTGATGCTTTCGATGCGCCCAAACTCTTGTCCCACGCCTGAGAGCCGCTTGTATGCGCTCGCGTCTACGAACCAGGGGGCGACGAGCGCTCGTGAGAGGGCGGCACCGAATACGATGGTCCAGAACCAGGACCAGCCAGTGGTGTAGTTGAAGACCTCTAGGAAAGCTTGGTAGAGGCCGGCTGGAGTGTAACCTGCGAGACCTAGGGATACTAGGTCGCCTGGCTGGAGGGGTGCAATCACATCCATAGGGAGGATTTCACCAAGCGAAGTGGTGACCTGAGGGAGTACCGCATCTTTCTGAGGTAGAGAGGAGAACGGCCATAGAGAAAACGCGCGGCATGAAGGCGGATAAACAGCGGGCTGGATTGTTTTGGATGGTAAGGATATCGTCTTTTCTGAACGGAATCATTTACAATGATAATGAAGACAGAAATTAGCGACTAACCGGCGCCGAAATTATTGGAAACGAAGAGATGAACATTCTTTGTCCGCGTCTCGAGTTGGACATTGAAGACGTGACAAGCTGTGGCCGGACGTTAACCACGCGAGGCAGTCTATGCATACCGAGACTCGACAAAAAATAAATTGTGGCGGTCAAGGGCATCCGGAACTTGCCGGCGGCCCGAGGTCGACGTTCGAGTTGCTTTCTATACAGACTTTTTACCATATAAACTTAATATCACAGCCTGAAAGCAATACACGGAGAACAATTAAACTATTCTTGTCCAACCCCCCAAATACCTATTTTTCCTTTAATAAATCATTCTCAACACCTTGTACCGTTGGATAACTCGGCTTTTTTCTACTCCCGAACAGGATTCAAACGAGTCTACCATCGAAAAAGAGGATAGACGAGAACCCCACCAATGAACTGCCCCTCCGGGGAAAGTGTCATATTAACCGGAATAGCCATCGCCAACCTCCCAGACCTCGAGCACCACTAAAAAGCCAATTCCATATGCCGCGCATCCACTGAACGCGGCTCCGAATGGTGCACAAGCATATACTACGAAGGGAGCGCTTTTGAAGACGATAAACAGCTGCAGGAAGGCCAAGGCAAAAGTGAGAAGCCAAGAAGAGCCCTAGGACGAATCCGTGAGCGCCATTTCTGATAGGCCACTGATGGCAGGCCTGCTTCGAACGCACCCGACAAAAGACGTAGAACGACCACAGCAGATGTAGTCCTGGGAAACCTCCATAATCATAAGGGTCACTCCCAACCCCAGCAAGCCAATATGGTGGTGAGAAGTATTTGAGCGACGGAATTGGAGAGAACGCAATGGAAAGCAGCAGAATAGAGGCCACAGCAAGAAACTGGCGTCCGGTTATATACAACACCTGAAGGAGGGTGTCACCAGTATTGGCGTTGAGGATAATGGCGTTTCCCTGGGAGATGATATTTTTATTGGTCGATGGTTTAACGGCTAGAGAGAGGGAGGGAGAGAGAGGGAGACGCGTAACCTGGTACTGTACCGAGTCAGCACAAGTTTGTAGCCAGAATATATATAACTCGCACCTTTTCTCTGCGACAACATCTATAATGTCGTCGTCGTCGATAATATTTCCGGCTTTAGCGACTTCCTTGTTAGCCGCCGCAGCTGGAGTAGTGGACGAATCAGGAGCGCCGGCGGGAGGAAACATAGTGAAGACAGAGATCCCGTCGCGACATTGCCCGGTCTTTACACCCATGGAACCTTTGCTTGCAACTGTTTTCGTACAAGTCTGAGGATCCAAGGGTTGTCGAATGATGAACAAGTGACGTGCCCCGCCGTAAGCTAGTACCATGACTTGTGAAGTCTCGATCGATTCTGACGCATACCTGTCGGTTCCTGGGATCCGACCATGTCAGAGTTACAAGTAAAGTTTATATTCAATAGCACCCCACAACGCGTCCGTTAGTTAGGGCTAACATGATGAAAAGGCTCGTAACAATATTGCTCCGTCGCGCCAGTCCACATGGTCTGGAATAAGCTTTACATCAGGAAAAAGTTCACAGACAATACAAGAACGCACCTCGCTGTGATGAAGCATAGAAGCAATCCTCTATGAATCTCGCGAATAGGATACAGCGGGAAAGGTAGGTTTAGAATTAAGGATACGCAAGTCGATCAGTTTTTATTGAGGTGGTGGGTTTCAGCCTATACCGTCTTAGTTGCCGCCACACGACCTTGGATCCACAACAGGCATAGGGGCAATCAAGGAGGGTATAGGTGTGGTGTAAAGTTGGATATGTTTGTCGTTCAAGACTTGACTGACGTGGTGAGTGCAGACACCACTGGAGTCCGGCTAGAAGCAATAAAAGAATTACTCTTTGTCTTCCGGCGTTTGCTCATGCCATGGCGATCGATACGGCGTCAACTTTATAAGGACCCATCGCGAACGAAGCTGGAGATCCAGGCGCTACCGCCTATTCAGCATATGTCAGTGGTAAACTATCCGAATGCCGGATGTAGTAAACGACGAACCTCTTGTATCTGTCTTCTGCTGTCGCCACGAGAGCTCATCTAGTTGTGTTCTATCTCGAGAATGCCATTCCGGGAGACCCGAGGTCACGGTGTACGAGTGGAAGAATGGAAGCAGCACCTCCTAATGGACACCATCTGGTGCAGTGCTATTTGAACGACGACATGGAGCGGAACCTGACGTTGACCTTCACAGAGAGAAAAGAAAACACGTTAAGCCATAGTACACTTCGTCGTATTCCAACGACGTATTCTCGGTGTAATTCGTGCGGCGTTGGAAATATATGTTCAGCTTCACCGGCTGTTTCCGGCCTCAGTCAGGTGTTACTCTTGTTCGTTCCTCTTCTTCGCCAGCCAGTAGTATCTTCGCTACGTGTTTTGCTTCCATTGAAATTCGCGGATAACGGAATCTCACAACGTGGCGTATACTGCTATCTCAAGAATGTAAACTCTTCATCACCGATTTGACGTTGACCTCTCGGTGGGGATATCTTTCAAGGCAACCATTGGCCACAAGGATCTACAGCAGAGCCATTCCAAGAAAGCAAGCCTATATTTTGCCGTCATACATCTATCTATCTATAATTACAACACTCGGTACGTATCAATGCATATCCGGAATCAGAACATGCTCTAAATTCTATCTCTAGATCTATTTATTGCAGCCGCAGAGTTCTCATTACTGGATGATGCTTTCGCCGGCGATACGGGCCATGGTGTACACAGCGTGGTCAGGAAGAGATCCCTTATCCGTATGGATATCAGTCTGCGAAGCCTCTCGCGAGAGACTAGGTGTATGGAGAGGTGTATCTTCCGGCGTGGGGATAGCAGACTCGGGATAATCGCGACCGGGTGGTTGGGTGATGAGCAATGAAATCGAGCCATCCTCATTGCGATGGGGCCGGACGCTAGAATGGGGGGTAAGAATATATAGTACCCAACAAGTTTGGCTGAACGATAATTACTGGCTCAGGTCTTCAACCAGGAAGTGCGGGTGCTCCTTTTCCAGACTCTCGCGCGTGTGGGATGTGCAAGTTGCGAGTACGAAGCAGCCTGCTGCTTTTCCTGAACGAATGCCGGTGGGAGCGTCTTCAACGACGATACCTGTCATGTGACTCGATTGTCAGTTGAATCTTGGGGAGGACGAAACACCCGTACAATCGGAAGGCGCGATCTCGTTGAGCTTAGCGCCCAGCAAGTATGGATCCGGGGCTGGCTTTCCTTGCTTCACGCTCTCGGCGGTGACGAAGTGGTTGGGAATCCTGAGACCAGCTGCAGGAAGTGCCTTGGAGGCGTAGAATGTCGTTGCTGACAAGCCATCATTAAAAGCACCAAAGCATCGTAGAGACCCTACAAGACGTGCAAACACTCCATCCCTGATCCTCATCCGGTCGTCCACACTGGATCCCGTCCAGAAGCTTCTTCACCCCAGGCAGAGCGATAATACCACCGCCTGGTTTCGATGCATTGGCGAGGATGGCTTCCTCGAATCTCACGACCTCGGATTTAAGTTTTTCCTCGTCGGTGATTTTACACCATTTTCGAAGAGCGTCGATGGTGCGGTAACCGTGGGCGGACCGAAGGATATCGTCAAGGTCAAGAAAGTCGTAGCCTGTTGATTTGAGGAGATTCCATGCTGCGGTTACGGCTGGTGATGAGTCGATGAGCGTTCCGTCCATGCTGGAAAAATAACGGTGAGCAAAAATGATTGGTTGGTGCCGATAGCATACTGACTCGAATAAGACTGCTTTGGTCTTCATCAGAACAGTTGATACCGGTGAGGAGGTCATGATGGGAGTTCTGATGGAGGTTCCAGCATGCAAACGGCGCAAAGTTCAAGTTATATCGCCAGCCTCGTTTGGAAATAAATCAGATTTAGGAGCCCACCCACGTTTGACTCTTGTTGTGATGATCCCCGTTGGTTACTCATTTCGAATCCGCCCTTGTTCCACCATGCCGGCGCAGTATGAGCTCCACATCAGATTTTGACAAGCCGGCTCCACGATTGGGACATAAAAAGGGCGTGATGGGATTGGAGCAGCCGAGAGAGGCACACCCGACGATTGCCAAGGGCCGAGGACAGATGCATACGACTGCCGCTTTATGACGAAATTGCGGTTGGAAATGACACCTATTTTTAGCTCGCTATGACCACTCGGAGGCGGCCTCTCACATCTTTAACTCGTTTCCCATATAGAAGACACTGACACCACTGCTTCCAAGTCCCACTCCCACTCTCTTTATTTTTTTTTACGTTTCATACCCATATCTGCCAGGCCCTTCCCACGAACCTGCAGATACTAGAACAACATGTCTTCCTCTGCTTCGTCCTCGCCTACATTCAACGGCAACCACACACCCATGTCTGGTCTATCTTCCCCCGACTCCTCTCGCCCGCCTTCTCCCCTCCTGCGACCACTCTCCAAGCCACCGCAGTCCAAACGCGGACTTCCTTCCAAGCCCTTCGGCTTCAACTCCCTCAGCGGGGCCAGCATGAGCTTTACGACCATAGCTTCGAAGAAACAGACCAAGCCCATCACCCCCGAAACACCGCCCGACTCTTCCTCCGACGGTGAATCTGACGAAATGCCCAAGCCGATAATGGTACGCAGGACCAGCTCGGCAGCGATGGCTCCCTTTATCACCAAGTTCGAACCGTACGAACCGGAGGAGTACGTCATCGATAAGAAAAGCGGTACGAAGAGCCCTGCGCGCCTAGAGAAAATCGCGATCGTCGGGTCTGGGAGCTGGGGTACTGCGCTTGCGCGTGTTGCTGCATTGAACGCGGCCGAGCGGGAGGGATTTGATCCCGAGGTCAGGATATGGGTTAGGGAGCATGAGGTCGGTTTTTGCGTCCTTCTCCCTTTATTCTGTTTATTTACTTGTACTGCTCATTCCTTACTAGATACCCGGACGAGGCAAGCTCACGGAGATATTCAACCGGACGCACCGGAACGAGAGGTACCTGCCCGATGTCGATCTTCCCGAGAACCTCGTTGCGGTGCCCAGCCTGAAGGAAACCGTGCGGGGCGCGACGCTCATTCTGATCGTCGTGCCGCACCAGTACCTTCCTGGCATCCTCGAAGAGCTCAAGGAACCCGGTCTGATCAGCTCGGGGGCCCGAGCCATCTCAGCGATCAAAGGAGTAGAAGTCGTGATCCAGAAGGGCGCGCCTCAAGGGACCGCCCGCATCTACACGTACCCCTCAGTCATCGAGAAGGAGCTTGGTATCCCATGCACGGCCCTCGGGGGCGCCAACATCGCGCTCGACGTCGGACGGGGGGAGTTCTGCGAGACGACTATCGGTGTGCTGAGCGCGAAAGACGCGGCGCTGTGGCATGCTGTATTTGATGGCCCCACATTTAGGGTGCACCCCATCGAAGACGTGGCAGGTGTCAGCCTGAGTGGAGCGCTCAAGAACGTTGTTGCGCTCGCGGCAGGATTTGTAGATGGGATGGGTCTCGGGGGTAATAATAAAGCCGCGATTTTGAGGATTGGGCTTTTGGAGATGTCCACGTTCACGTTGGAGTTTTTTCCTGGGAGTTCCCCGTTGACGTTTTCGCATCACTCTGCTGGTATGTGCGATGTTTTTTTTTTCCGTTGTGTTCTTTGCTGATGGGGGGTGTAGGTGTGGCGGACCTTATTACAACGTCGTTTGGTGGTCGTAATCGTAAATGTGCTGAGGCGTTTATCAAGAGCAAGCCTGAGTATTCTGGAGGTTCGTTCGTTCGCTTCGTGCCATCTTTTTTCTCTCCGACTGACAAAAGTTAAACCAGAGCAACGAGGCAAGACTTTCGAGCAACTCGAAAAGGAACTTCTGAACGGGCAGAAACTCCAAGGAACACTCACTTCACGAGAAGTGTTCGAGTTCCTGGAGGCGCGAGGACGCTTGGAGGGATACCCGCTTTTCGAGAAGGTGTATAGGATCTCCTTTGAGGAGATGGACCCGAAGAGATTATTCGAAGATCTCTAGGATTCGTCGGTAGAATGTTTTTCAGTTATAGATTTCATAGAGAAGATAGAATTCTAGACACATCCGCTGGTGCGGGTAGCTTGTATCTATAGCGATTGTAGTGTACTTGACATAGATCTAGATGGTTATGTGCCCATATGGTTCAAATTTTATCTGATACCAATCGATAACCATTATTATTCCGACAAGATTGCAGCCGTCTTCCGGCTACAGACTGATGGGTACAGCAACCGTGTTCGCCGATGTTGGCCGCTGTGGGTCAATATGGGTCCAGGGCCGATATGCATGAACTGAAATTCGAGGAAGGCTACGTGAACGATAATAGGACTAAAACCATAGTCTTGCTGTGAAGATAAATCACGAGAATGTACAACCTTGTTTACAATTACATAAAGGAAGATAGTCCTCTACTTCTCCCCTATCAAGTACATCACTTCGTCGAAAGAGCGTTGTAGCACCTTGCAATGGACCTCTAACCTATTCACCAAACGTAACCGGGGGAGTGCATTAAGAATGAACCCACGTGTTATTTCGAGCAAATCCGAATCGGGCTTCCTCGGGTACCATTGGACTCCGTAGCCCACCCAGATACAAAGAGTCGTATCAGCGAACCTCGGCGTCGTCGTCATCAGAGAATCCAACGACGACCATACGCTCTCGTCAACTGCACGCTGGAGGAAGCTCCTATCAAACTTCCCGGACGGCGAGCAAGCGATATTTATTTGAGATGTCCTGACGGGGCCTTTTCCGGATCGCAGGCAGTCGATAAACCATTTCATGCTGATGAGCGCTATTCTGTCGTTCCTGCTAACTTCGAAGATCAGGAAGGGCACATGCAGCATCTCCAATTTGTGCATCGGACGAGAGCTTGACTCTGAGGAGTAATGATGGTCAAGAGCCGTGAGGTTGAACGCAGCAAAATGGAACTCACCATAATCATGAGGCTGGTAGATGTGTAGTCTTTGCAGGATCCCGTTGGGACTTTCGAGAAGCCGTTGGCATTCATGCAGCCGTGTTAGCTGGAACGATGCTAGCTTTATGCGGCGCAATGCGTGCAGGGAAAATAGCTGTTTATCCAGACACAAAGGGACGAAGTTACAGGAGATCGACAAATCTTCTATTGAGAGTACGGTACCCTGGTCGATTTGTTCCATACTAGTCGTCGGGATCCTAGCGGAGGAAAAATCGAGATGCCTTAGAGCTGGGTAACATCTCAGAAATTTAGGTAGGTCCTCGGGATAGAAAATAACGGCCCTTAGAGTCAGTGATGTAAGAGGACACGACAACAAGGCAGCGGGAATTTTCTTGATGTCATAGTTTTCGGTATACATAGCCAGGTTGAGTGTGTGAACGTTGGGAAGGGGAAACCTTCGTAGCAGTTGCTCGAGGCTCGCCCTGAACCCCGCGTTGTCCCATAGAGTGAGAAAGAAGTTTTGGACGAGGCGTGGAATATCCGGCGACCGTATGCATGAATCATGGAACCCTGAGACAGAACGCTCAGTCGCCAGATAAAGTGAGCGGAAGAAGTGGACTTTGGCCTGAGAGTGTAGGGAGCGTGATACGCATAGAAGGGCGCGAAGACTGCGGCGGTCGTTGCGGAGGACATCTACTATAGCGTCCACGAGTTCTTGAGGGAGACGATCCATGGCTACTAGAGTTAAAAACGATTTTATCGATTCGTCAGGGTTTCAGGAAGAAATATGACATTGAACACTACAAACATCGCTGCAGGGGATGTCTCGGATTGCTTGTTTACGGTGCACCGTGCAGATGGTTAGAATGACAGTGTTGAAAAATAACAAGGAAGGAATAGAGAAAAGGGGCTCGGAATAGGATGATGGTGGTAAGAAATGAAAAGAGGTACAACACAATATTCGACGGTTTGTTTTACCAAGCATCACTGTCTTCGATCAAGTGGACTCCGCACTCAACGTTGGACATCCTCTATATAAATTTACCAGGTGGCCACTCGATCCTTTCCTATACCATCACTAGTCAGCTCCATATATCTTCCTCGGCAGCCTGGTAGCCAAGCCCCTCTAACGAGGAGAAAGGGACCCAGTTCAGGTCTACTTCCTCGGTCATACAGGGCCGTCTTGCAAACTCTCAAAGGCCCTTATAGATTTATCTGGTCAATAACTGCTTCTGTCTTCCAATATCGGAGCTAGAGCACTCTGCCTTATCGTCGATCTGAAGATTTCCTAGTCTTTGCCTCGTTCTTCTGTTACCAGTATCCGATTTTTCTGTGAACCACCTATGCTTGGCCCTTTGGTTCTATTGACATTCGGTGTGCTAGACATTTTACAATATTTGAGACCCTGGAGGTCCAGGAAATCGGAATGGTGACTTCCATTCTTATGGCGCACGTGCCACATCGGCAGAGTAATGCCGGAAAACCGTCTTAAGGACCCCAGAGACCTCTTTGGCTGTGTTTCTTCCTTTTCTCATTCTCTACTTTTTTCTGTGCGTCCCGTGATTCTTAACAGATGATAGCTCTATACAACGCTTTGTTATGATGCACCTTGTAACGTCAGAACCTAGCGAGAGCCACCGGAAACGTCGGAAGGGAAGAAGGTGGCGCAATGGCAGGCGTGGGAAGATCATTGTCGGTGTTCGAGGTCCCCTCCCGTGGTTTTTCACAAAAGGCGTGATTCCCATGTGACGACCTCCCCAAGTCAGCACCCCCCCCCACTTTACCGCGACGCGACCAGTATTTGCTGCTCGTCGTCGACGACAGCGAACAAACTTTCTGCAATATCATTCCATTGCTGACCTTTCGTCACTTATCCCCGTTTCTGCGCACATCGTAACCTTGGTTGATAACCAGCCCCAGTCTCAGGTCAGTGCCATCTATTGAATACGCCGTGCGCCGATGATATTGACCCTATCGACCGCTCATATCTCTTAGAGGCCCTCAAGAAGAGCTTTCAAGCATAATTCTGTTCACGGTCAACCACCATGGCTCCGAATGCAGCTACCCAAGACTCAGCCCAGCCTGCAGCCCCAGCGGCCCCAGCGGCGCAGCCTCCTGTCGACGTAGGGCCGATTCCTGGAATCGGAAGAGACCAGCTTTTGGCATTGCTTACTACTCTTGACCTTCCGGTATTCAAGGTGAGCATCGATAAAGCCTAATCCATCCATCCATCCATCCATCCATCCCTCGTCTTCCATCTCTACACGTGATCGTCCATCTTCCATCCTGATACCCCACCCTCAGAATGCCAACCCCCAAGGCACAAAAGTTGATGCCGCCCAAACCCTCTCCAACCTCGCCCAAGCCGGGTTCAATACCACATTCTCCATCAACGACCCTGGCCCGTCGTCGCACCCCGGCGGACCACCTAATCTTGGGACTCAGAAGAAGGCGGAGGCGGAGGCAGCCCCGCAACCAGAAGAGCCCCCTTCCATCCCTCAAGGTCCGAACCCCAATCTTGGCGCCAGGCGGTCAAAAAGTGGTGCGGCGATGGGCAGTGACGAATGGACGAGGCAACGGAAGGATAACCACGTACGTACTCCCCCATCCTCCGGTCGGGCAGCCCTGATGATTAATTTTTTCTCCAGAAAGAGGTCGAGCGCCGCCGCCGTGGAAATATCAACGAAGGCATCAACGAGCTTGGCCGGATCGTCCCCAACGGGTCAGGCGAAAAGGCAAAAGGTGCCATCCTGTCCCGCGCGGTGCAGTACATCCATCATCTGAAAGAGAATGAGGCGCGGAACATCGAAAAGTGGACGCTGGAGAAGCTGCTGATGGACCAGGCGATGGGGGATTTGCAAGCGCAGTTAGAGGAGATGAGGAGGATGTGGGATGAGGAGAGGATGGGGAGGCAGAGGGCTGAGTCGGAGCTGGAGACGTTGAAGGGTGGTGGTCAGAAGAGGCCGAATGAGGATGGGGATGGGAAAGAGGAGGGAGACGGGAAGAGGCAGAGGACGGAGTGATATTCCTTTTGCTGTTTCTTTCTCTGGATGTAGACTGTCGCTATCTTTTGCTATGCTGTACTATTCATGCTATATCGCCCTTTCTTTTCTCTTTGTTTTATTCATCTAGCTAGCGGTGTTGTATATGGTGGCTTGCGGCCTTGTACTACTTGTTTCGAAATTAAAACTGAATCAGAATTCTTACTAATGGCGTGAATATTTAGGCTACAAAGGAAGAGCAGGAGGATGTCCGGTGGTTCCGGTCCGGTCCGGTCAGAAATTCTTTGTTGCCGTACAACCACCCTGCCTGTGCTCGGCGACTTTTTTTTTTTTTTTTTTTTGTCCTCAGCATTTGATTAACCGCAACAAGTAAGCTAACTACTAAGACGCGGTGGAGGTACAGGGCCTCAGGATCCTCTTTCCCTCTTGTTCCAGTCCCTCCGTTCTTCCTTCTGAGTTCCCCGGGTGTTTTGGCGTGTAGTGTGGAGTAGAGTAACGGACATGTATGTGCTCGGCGACTGACTGCCACCATGCTTAAAACCAGAAGTTGGTAGGCAATCCTACGATGCGGATGTACAACGAAGTAGCTGCCGCCGCCGTACGTTGCCATAGTCATCTTAGCGTCTAACTTTTTGTTCAATTCAGTTTACAGCCGCTGAACATCAACGATTCCTTTCTGAAACAGCACTCTTAAGAGTGTCGTATCATCGTTGTATTAGACAAATTTCTACCACCTCCAGCCAGCGTAGGACCGCAGCCGGTAGCCAACACACCACCTTATCTTTCTATCACCCACTCCTCACGTTAAATTACTCCTTTAGATACAACTCAATTACCTCGCATCACATCGAGACGGCATGCCATAACGTTCCTTAGGATCACTACTTCGTGTACCGCCTTTTAATGCCGGTATGGGATACTCACCGACCACTATTCATCGTCAGATCTGTCAGGAACTCATAACCGGTGGAGCAATTAACCATCCCCACGCTCGGCCTCACATTCACAGACCCCATTTGCTTAAAATTTATTCCTTTTGCTAGAATGATGCTGCTCCATTCCAGTTGAGGGGGGATAAGCTTGTCGAAAGGATCCCCGCTGAGTGTTTTGGCACTGGGGACTCATGTAATGATCCTATTCCAACGCATCGTGGTGCAGATACCTACCTATCCTACTAATCAAGGTCATTCTCACGATTTTGAGTACCACACAGTTAATAGACCCTTGCCTATTAGACTCCATTTCGCCTGTCAAATAGATCATTATAATCAACTCTTCTATGCCGTTCCGGTCTATTGTGGTGTTTAGTATGGAGCGATTATTGTTTTCGAGTTCCCCGTCTATACCGAGTCTTCAAGTTGTACGGCGGAAACGCTTTGGTTGCTCGGTCGTGAGCTCGACTTGGGGGGTAATGGGTTTTATTGTACAGTTACCTGCGTCCTTGCGTCCGGCCTGCCTGAAAGTGCGGTGCCGTGAAATGATGAGAAGAGATATCGGTGATCGTTTCATCAATCTATGAGTATAAACAAAATATGACATTGGCTACTCCGCTGCTCTCCAACCCCTTCGCCCCATCAGGCTTAAACTCGCAGGTACAAATTCATGTGGGAACTCGATTTCAAGCAAGGACGCCCTGAAATAATCAATTGACTCGGAGCCGCAGTGGATTGTCGATCACCGGTGAACGACTTTTGCAAGATGCGGACACCACTCTCGGGAATCGTATCACTTTGTTATCACTGATCCTCTCAAATCACCGGACAAGGACCGAGTCACCTTGACCGTGACTGGCAGATTCGGCCCGGAACATCATATAACGCAGTCCTTGAGCTTCCTTCGTTTGACTTCGTACCACCAGCATCAACAAACTTTCTCCTCTCAGCCTTCCGAATCTTTGTAATGGCATTTGACCCTTCCGAGCCCTGAGTTTCTGCCCTCCCTTACTCGTCGTTTTGTTCTATCTTGCCACGACATTTCTAAAATTTACTTTCTGAAGACAGGCTTCTTATTGAGCCTTTGGCTGCCTTCTTCGCTTGACACAAACAACTTCTCGCATAAAGTATTTCTTTTGGTAAGAGGCACCATCGCTCCCTTCTGGCTCCCATCTTGATGCTTAGACTTGGGTAGAATACGCGTGTTCCCACCAGAACCCAAGAGATAATCAAAACACTACACCTTTTTTTTTGTGCGCTGTCGTTACCACTTGCATCTGATACCGAACATGACTGAGCCAACACACAGTGCGCCATGGTCGAAGTTCCTCAAGAACTCGTCGACGTCATTATTGACCACCTGCACGCAGACCGCCGTGCCCTCCTCGCCTGCCTATCCGTCTCGAGCATTTTCCGCTGTCGAGCCCGGTTTCACCTTTTCCCGACCATTCGCTTGAACAAAAAGCGCGATTTCGAGGAATTCAACGTTCTATGTGCGAAATCGCCTTCGATCCCTGACCTTGTCAAATCTCTTCACGTCATCCTTCCTGAATCTGTCACCAATATACCAAGTCTTTCGCGCGTCCACACGCTTTATCTTAACGGCTCGTTGCGGGTCATGTCTCTGCACTTGGAGTCCTTCAGTAGGATTTTCTCGTGGGTTCCTAGTACCCTTACATCTCTATCGATCGAGGCCATCACATTCCCGACAGAAACTTTTCGTCGCTTGATTGGGGCTCTCCCACTCCTTAAATATTTATCCCTCTACACCGTATTCGTGACTGGAACAGGATCGGTGGACTCTCAACTACTCGAGCTGTCCCGTGGTGGTAAGGGCCCACCGTTAGAAGTCCTGTCGATCAGATCCCTTAATCCCGACGGCGTCTGTCCCTTTTTCCATGGGTACCCCCTGTCAGGACCGTTCGCCCTATACAATCTACGTGAGCTCTATTTCCCCCGCTTTGTCCTCGAACAAGTTCCGGATATTCAACGTATGCTCGACGCGAGCAAGGACTCGCTTCATGAGCTACATCTCGAGCCTGCATTTTACAGTGAGTCGTCTTCGTGTTCTAAGGTCATCTTTCCACGTCAAAACTCAGCGTTACACTTACAGAGGTAGGCCCCGTATCCGGATGGTCGGACAAGCAGTTCCTGGATATCTCCCAAATACCCATCGTAACCCTTCCGTTGCCGGGGAATCGGTTCTTGGAACTGGAGTGGCTCGTTGCGTGCTTGGAAAAAGGCTCGTATCCATTGAAGATTGAGCAGATCAATATAATCATAACATATGTCTCCTTCCTGCATTTTTGGAGCGAGATGGACAAGGCGCTTTGCGGTGATCCGCATTTTAGTGCAATTCGGGTGACGATCACTTGCGGAGGGTTGACAAGGCAGGAAGCGCTGGCCATCATGTCAGCGATGCCAGGACTGCATTCTGAGGGGAGATTGAGCGTTGGGTACAAGGGGGGCGACGGCGATGCTCTATAACTCTTGTTCTTTAGATAGATCACCTCGTACGTCTAGTTATCTTCGCTGTCCTCCCCCGCGCCTGGACCAAGCTACAGGGAGCGCTCTTCGGATTCCCTGGAGGATGTTCATTGAAACCAGGAAATGAACGAGACCGACGTCTCTTTCTTGTATGCTGTCGGTGACCGATAGACGGGTGTGCGTAGACTCATATAATTGGTTCACACTATATATTTATGGAGGAAATGAGGAAAATACAGCCATTCCGATGGATTTTCTACCCTGTATTCTAGGAGATACCATGAGAAAATAATGAATCAGATATGTTCGAGGAGACACCGTTTTTGGTCAATCGGCGCCCAAAGAACCAGGATCAAACTCAATACCCTGATAGACCGGTATTCTATCCTTCGTAAACAAAAAGCTCAATCGCCCCGCAGAGTGCATCTTGGGCAAGAGCACAGACAAGTTCCCTTTAATCGTGTCCTCGTTATCCCAGGCTTCTAATTTGACCGTGAAGCAGAGCAAAGACCCTTTATCTCGCATAGCGTTGTCTATCGCCATCCATGTGCCCCCAACACGCAGATCCTCGAACCCCCCTTCATCGAAGTAGATAGTGATGTTGAGCCGTGCAGGTGCACCCTTGCGCAAGCATTTTACAAGGTATTTCATATCCCAAGCAAAGGGCATCGAGAGAGGGCCAAAGTTGACCAACGGGACGCGGGATAAATTGAGTATGTGATTATCCTTGCACTTTTCGAGATCGCTGCCTTCAGAGTCTGAGAAGGAGTTGAGCGGGGAGAAGAGGGGGAGGATGAGTATCCGATGTGACCTACAAGGAAGAAGAGACACCTCCTGGATCGTGTCGCGTGTTATGTCTAGGATGTTCTGCATTTGGGATACAAGTCCCAGTTTAAAAAAGACCATCTGAAGCTTGCGGAGGGCGTGCAAGCCGAAAGGCTTTCTCCAGCCTGTTTTCGCTGACCCAGGACCTACGAAGGCGCGTTCGTGGTTGTTCCTCATACCGGAAGATAGGATTGTGAGCATCTCGATAGGGGGTCCCGGGGCGGAGCTGACGTCCTCAATGGATTTCGCATCGTGAATGAGAAGTGCGTTGATAGTTAGCGTTTTGAGCCTTGCGAAGGATTCTAAGCAGCTGCGAAAGCTTTGCGCAGAAGGGAAATGCATGCCTTCGAGTTTCATCGAAGTGGCAGCGTAGGACACCTGAGGACCAATTGCGGATGCGCTGACCCAAGGAATTACGCAGTTACGACCAGCACTGTATCCACTGATGTATATCTTATCCAGATTGGGTAGGTTGTGTAGCCGCAGCTTGTCTGAGTCTGGTCTAGGCTGCCCATCCCAGGCCACGATCCGAAGCCCACGGACGAGAGGAGGAACTGATGGTGAGATTCTGCACAGTTCGTTGAATCGCGCACATTCCTCAGCGTAGAGAATGTTCACAGCCCGAAAGAGAAGATACTGGGCTCGACTTCGGAAAGAGGGGGACAAATGCAGTGCCGCCCGAAGTGCCTTCTTGTCATCCTGGAGCCCGTCGACTATGAGATCAACGAGTTCTTGAGGTATATCGATCATAATCTGAGGTCCATAATAATTACTTGACTACTTTTGAAGAAATGGTTAGTTATATTACTGACATAGATTGACACTTGACTGAAATGTTGAGGATATTCTGTCGCAGCACCTAGACCTGGGAAACTTGGAAATCTGATATTAGTAGTGCGCAGTCTATGACTTACTCAGAAAAACATCTTACCAGCAAACGTTGTGAAGAGCTCCAAGGTAGGAAGAATACCGTTGGTGGGTGATCAGAAGAGGCCCGTTGCGAGGCGATTTTCGGACCTGATGCAGGCACGCATGACAAATTTAAGAACGTCGCAACGGGTGAGTCGTTCAAATTTTACATCCATTGAAGGACTTATCTTCATACGGATCGTTGAGTCGTTTACGGTACTACGTTCAACTCAAAGGCCCTGCGAAATATAAATTACAAAGTATCAGGGATAATGACTTCACCGCTACAGATAGGATAGTTAACTCTTATTAAAGGTCAGACTTCATGCAACGTTCCCACAAGCCGTAGTTGTCTCACTTCAAACAATGCAACTACACGTAGACCTGCTCCTTAAAACCTGGAAGAATAGTTGCCGTACTGAATTCACCAGTTCGGCTTCCTTTCGCCCTCTGCCATATTTGCTTAGCAAAGGTCCACTCTGAACGAGTAGACAAGGTCAGTAACACGAAATTTCCCATCGTTGGAAAATGCACTAACCTTCCATAGTCGGCACTTTGTTTCCGGTAGACTCGAACTGGTTCTCCGAGTGTCCTTCCTGATCCAGTACGGGGGAGTTTTTGACGGTCGCAAGGGAAACATCACTGTGGGGTCTAAAAAGTCGACAAGTTCAATATGGGCCCGAGCACCAGACCAGATTCGACATACCTGGAGAAGTAGAGCAGCCCCAAACGGTCAACGTGCTGCTGATCTTTGGGCGGAACAGTCACCCTAGAAGACAATCCATTACGTTGTGATACCGAAGTATCTAAGAGAAAATATCGAACCGATGGACTGTGCTCTTGACGTATCCGCCGGTCAGGAACGAGAGGGCGTCGCAGGCATTGACTGTGAGAGTCGCATCTTGGGGTTTGACCCATTTCCATTCGTTGGTAGAGTGGTAACGAATTTGAAGCGCCGCAACAGGTTGACGGAAGAGGAGTGTAAAGCTGCCGAGGTCTTAAGGACAGTTAGACTAGTCATGGTAAGTATTAATAGACCTACCTGTATGTCCGTACGACCAGTTCGTGATTTTCTGGTTTTCTTCTTCAGTGAATTTCGAATATTTCATGTATCTCAGATGATCCTATACATTATTTTCAGGTCGACTCCCGGTACTAAGCTAAGATAAAAGGGCTCACCTCGCTCTTCTCCTCGTATTTATGGATGTTAGTGAAAACATCCTCAGGAAGTTCTAAAGCAATGGCCAGTAAAACAAACAGAGGATCCAAAACTTCGCTGTGGAGGGACTGAAGAAAGGGTGTCAGTACTGAACGCCGATCTTTAAGCATATCGAGTTAAAAGCGCTGACCTTGGCAAATTCTTTGACTTCATTGAGGTTGTCGGTTATAACAGGTGGATGGACTTGGGGGAAATGGCCGTTGAACTCTAATAATAATTGGCAGTCAGAATAAGGCAGGGTAGACCAGCTAGATCTCACTTGGAACGTTGTACATTTCCGTGCGGTCTCTCGTCCCCGATTCAACATGGATACTAGTGTGGGGAAGGTCCGTTAATACCTATGTGTAAACCACTTTGAAGACACCCACATTTTGCGACCGGCAGGGATATAGCCATTGACCTTACCGTTAGCTATATGGCACGAATTCTCATCAATGTCATTCTTCTCACAGTAAAACGATTGGCTCACCCATGTCAGGCGTATACGCAGATTTTTCCTCCACCGGTAGCTCAAAGAACAGTTTACCAAGGGCGAACTGGCGATCGACGTGCTCCTGGGATATGTTAAAGTTCTTGACATAGAAGAACCCCTTCTCGCGGACGGCCTCGATAAGCGTCTTTGCAAGCTGCTTCTTGCCCTCGGGGGTACTATATAAACTCAGGTCAACGGTAACGAGGTCCGCCCAATCGAGATCTTCCTGTCATCACCGTCAGCCTGATATGCGATTAGAGAACAGTGACGAACTTTGGTTTCCGGGACATATTTGTAGGATCCTAACTGGGGCGTGGCGACTGGCATTATGTACACAGAATGACTGTCTGAGAAGTCAATATAAGAGGACTCTTATGTCTTCGTCACTGACGTCCCCGGTAAGTGGTAATGATGAGTAAGTCGAGAGCATATCGACTGATATCGGTCAGATTGAGCTCGACAAACAATCACCTCATTAGATACAGGTATGGTGCTATTCCTGCATCGTCCGGTGACGTCCGGTACGTATATCATCCGGGTCTGAGATTGCGCCATACCGGCTCAGTTTGCTGGAGACGGCGCGAGCGAAGATCTTAGAAATTGTTGTCATGGTCAAAAGACATATTCATTTTTTGCTCTCTTCCTGCTCCGAAGTCTGTTTCTCGATACTGCTCGTATCTAACGCCGCACCAGCCCGTCTGATATCTCGATTCTGGAAAAATAAAGTCGCTAATGCCGCACAAACTGGCAACATTGTGTTAAAGAGTGGGCGCAACAGATGACTGATCAACTGACTCATGGCGACATTGATGAAGATAGTGGTCACGTTTCCAACAAATACCCTAAATCCGCTTCTTTTGTCAGAGTACAGGTAAGAATGTTAAGGAACGCACCGAGGCTGATCCACTTGAGGAAATATGACACTAAAAAGACCTCGGTAAATCGACGAATAACGGAGACAAGCGGAATAAACACATCGGAAGCCATGCCTGAGGTAAACCCAATGAGCTCGGCAACCGCAAAGCACTCGGTAGGTACGAACCTCAAAAACGTATGCAAACGCGCTACAACTGGCAACTATAAATGCCCTCTCTGTTCGGCATGATTAGAAACCATCGCATCAATCGAAACCCAATGGCTTACTCTCGTTATCGTAGCTAGTGAGCTCGTTTATCCAGCCAAGAATGACACCAGATAAGCCATTGCAAACTTGAGTCTATGAGATGAAGCAGTGAGAGAGAGTACATTACTGCGATACAAGATTAACCCACCATATAATAGAATGCCCAGCGTCTGGGGATATTTGTGTACAGAGGCGTAGCTGCAAGCACGATGCAGACGACGATATTCCAAATCTGCGATAAAGTGTCAACATGGTATATTGGTGTGTATAAATTGCCTGTACCCCAGCGACGACAACTGGCGGCCATCGTTTCTGGGTAGCGTCAGACCACCAGGCCCATATCAAAGCTATATGCACGGTCAACCCATTCCTTGATCAAAGGACAAGAAGCGCACTCATGATGATTTGCACAACATTGATACCAAAGGGGTATATGTTGATTTGACTGACTGTATATTTTGTATGACCTTCGGTGTTAAAGCTCTTGAGCCAGAATATCATCGAGGTCGCAGGCCCACGGCCATTATTATACTAGGGCAAGTTGAATCAATGAGATGTGATGGATAACAGAGATAAAAAGCGTACGAAAACGTAGACTAGACGTAATCAAAGTCATCAGTTTGAATCATTGCTGCCAGCAACTTTGCTACTAACAGGTAACAAGCACATAAAAATGCCATGTCTTGAAAAACCCTAAGACCTGGACCGAGCCATTGGCGAGAGTGCCAAGCCAAGCGAAACGGTTAATCTTACTTTAGCCTTGGTGAACTTCGCGGGCGGTTTCCTTCCAATAAGCTCCATCCGCTTCCGGGCGATCGCAAGTTCTTGTTCGGAGAAGAGAACCGATGCCTTAGTATTATGCGGCAGATCTATGAAAGGTGTGGAAATGGTTATGGGGTAAGTTGTCCAAAGAACATGGGAGCATACCGGGCATTACGAAGAAGCCAAAAACGCTGATGGTAACCGTAATAATTCCATCGATGATGAAAAGCCCTGCACAACAGTCAGTAGCCGTAAAAGAACTTAGAGATGTGAGTGACGCACATCTCCAGCCAGCAAGGCCGCGAACACCGTTCAAGCCGTCATAGGCAGCCTGATAATTATGCACGTATGACGACGCAGACGACTGGGAAGGCGAAAGAACCTACAGCCTGTAAGAAACCACTGAACATTGGGCCAGAAGCAGCAGCCGTCTGGCAATATTGATAGACAGTCAGCAGGTGCAGCGTACCACGAGATGGAGATCGTACATGAACTATACAGATGCGCTTCGTCAGTTCCTCGCCCTTGTACCAACTGCTAATCACATATGCTGTGCCGGGATAAAACGTTGATTCCGCCAAACCTATTGCCCGAATTTAGTAGCCGGTCCAAACAGCCAAAAAGGAACGCGTTTTACCAATGAAAAACCGTAAGGCACAGACTTGGTTGAAATTTTTACTACTTGCGAGAACCGTCGTGAGAATGCTCCAGATAACTTCCATTGCGGGAATCTGACACGTTCCGATGAACGGTGTATACCACGAACATAAGTTTCACATACCCAAATGGATGGCCTAATTCTGGTCATGAGAAGGCTAGGAGATGTTAAAAGTCAACTAATGGACCTGCGCGATTTGTTACGTACTTTGAAGGGATTTGTCCAATGACATAGCCGACTGTCCAAGAGGTTGTGATGAAGTTTAATTGATTTCCGTGTCTAGATGAAATCAGTATTGCGCAAATTAGCTGAGAGAAGGGCCACTACAAGTGTAGACTGATATAAAAATAAGTCGCTGAAGCTATGGAAAAGATAAAGAGTGACGAACTCATCTTGCATTCCCGAAACATACTTTCAATCCTCGTTAGTTCGACCAGAGAGCCAATACGATGATACGAGGTGACCCACAGCATTCTTCAATGAATAAAATCAGGGTGGACACTGGTACTCCGTTGTAATAATCACGCACTGTCACGTTTTGCTGATCTAGATACGTGTTAGACAGAGATGGGTAAATCGACAAAGATACGGAGTCTTTGTAAAAGCACTTATTTGCTGAAGTACGACAAAGTCGCATAAGTCAGAATACATGCGTCGAGCTTGGCGAGGAACCTCCTCTCTTCCGACGGTTTATCCCACGTGTCCCTAGCATACATTTGTTAAAATCAGAGCCGAACTTTCATGCAAGAATGATAGATACTTACCAGATGAGGCTGTAGAGAGGTCGTTTCTTGGGGTTCAATGATTCGGCGGACATTGTTCAGATGTCTTGACTCCTCCGAAGCTACTGCAGGAGAATACTTATCCCATTCCATCGACTCGCTGGTATTTCCGGTATTTGCTCTTCCCTTTCTGAGCTCAGGCAATCTCAGGCTGGCACATGCAACCTTCAAAAGTTGCGGCGTTACTGACAAAACATCTTAGTCAACATCCTTCAAGAAGACAGCTACATACTTCTATTCGAGAGAGAACCAACACACGGCGAGTAATCAGAAGGACAGGTGGCTGCATTTTCCTGAGTCTTCGAATGATGGGGAGTGGTGTGTGAATATTTTTGGTGTTTAGTAAGGTCATGAGGGTAGCGATGCGATGTGCAGCAAGTTATACATGAGAACGGCTTCGCAGAAGGAAGAGAAAGGTGGCGAAGAGAAGGCGTTGGGCAAACATCGGAAGTCAGTCCGAGACCTGCCGGTAGTTTTTGAAATCGCACTCCGAGTTCACCGGGAAACTCTTTTTTGGTGACAGGCCATTCTCAACTTAGTTCTTCGACATGAGGGCAGTCAGTGGAAGACTCAATTCATGAAGGGAAAGATAATCCATCACAAAAGACGTCAATTGATGAATAATCAATGTGGTCATCGGCTCGTCTGCAGGACGCGTTGGGGTCAATTTTTGAGCAACTTCTCTACTGAGGACTGGTGGAGCAGGATGAATGATGAGACGAAAGGCGCGAGGCCTTGGTGTTGATCAGGGGTGAATAAAGAAACCAGACATCGATAATCTTATCCTTCACTACCAGTCGCCCAGCGGAATGCGATCTGGGAAAAGCCATCGAGATGATGTCCCGAACTGCTTTATGTCACGTATCCATGAGCGAAAGCTCAGCGCGGTAGACCATATCCTGTAACATAAGGGAAGCAACCCAGCGAAAGTTGGCCTGCCATTCATCATCGAGATGCCCTATTGCAATTTATGTCAAGTTCAACCAAAACCTGTTTTAGAATGTCAGTGTGATGTATATATATTAGGCCTCATTGCTGTTTGCCTTGCCCTAGACTGTAGCTTTTATATCAGCACCGGCTACTGCAGCTGTGGAATGCGCAGACTTTTGTCTCTTCGAAGCCGGCTGAACGTCGTCTGGGGTAACACGCGTAGTTCCTCTGGGTTCGAGTTGATACTGCGCTGCATAATCGGAGGGGCATTCATCCATTGCGAGTACATCTTGCCAATGCGATTTCAGGCCTTCGTAATCGGAGAAAATCACAGTGTCGGCAGTGACTGATGGCTTGACAACAGCACCCATCTTTGCAGCCATATGCACTGGTAGATTTATAAAGTTCTGCAACTGCCCGCGCTAAACTTGTAAGCGTCCTTTCTTTTGTTCTGAAGGTCCAAGGTTGATAGGTTAGTCTCCAAAGTTTGAGGGGGCCAATTCTCTATCTTGCTGACGATCATGGCGCCCGCGTCGGCATACAAAATAATTAATTATCGTCATCTTAAAACTAGCCTTTAACAAAGCCTCCAACTCTATTTAATCTAGTTCCAAAAAGTCTTGTCGGTGGAAAACTACGTGACGTCCACCCTCTATCGGAACCTCGGAGGCAGCATTGGGTTCAGTCTTCGTGCGTATTTTCCCTCTCTTTCGTTCTTTTTTTCCGATCTGCTCGTCCTTGGATAGAAACTCGTGATACAGAGACATCGCTCGACGACGAGGTTTGATGCCCAGTATGCTCTCTGTGAAAATGTCTAGGATGGGCACAGAGTCCCACCAGGGTAGATTCTGATATGCCTCCCTCACGCGAGGTATTTCTGCGTTCAGTCCCTCCGATACCTAATGACCATATGAGCTGATATTAGCGAAGAGTTCTATCATGGGAGGGACACCAGCTGCAAGTTCGCTGAATGCGACACGGATGTCGGTGAAGAAGCAGTCAAGTGAAGGTCGGAGGATTTCGTCGATCTCGATGATATATTGCTCTCGTAGCCGAGCACTTGCTGTCTCGAGAGGTTCATGGTCAACTGCTCTCTTTAGGCTTTTCACTGCAGTCTCGAACTGGAGATATGATCGCGCTCAATAATCATGTCATTTTGTTTTCTGATAATCGCTTACCGGATTTAATACTGGAGACATTTTCCAAGGCCCAAAGGATTCGAAGAATTTATTTACAAGGTAATCGCGGTAATGAAGTTTGATGCCGAAATTCACAGAGAGTGTGCAGTTTGTCCAAAAATACCGCGCGATCCTTGGTCAAATTGGGTGTTACGATAAAGTCCATACTTCCCGGTGACATGCCCTCTCCATGTTCAGGCATGTAAAATTGCGAAAATTGCAAATACATGGACTGCATTCCAGTCCAGTAAGCATGTAACAGAAAATAGGACTAGAGC